TGGAACCTCGTTGGAATAAACGAAACAGCTTTAAAGCTTTACGGATCCCCGTGAAGTATCTCTTAAGTGGTTCATCGAGGATTTCGCATCGTCTTATCCATAAAGCGGTATAAAGTTAACATCTGCAATAATCTTTTATGGAAGTTTCCGTTTCTCTCGATAAGCCTGCGTCGCGTAACGTTCAGCCGCAAAACGAGCACGGAAGAATGAATTATTTATGAATGCACAAATTCCTGCTGTCTTTGTATATAAAAGTCAGGGGATGGAGTTAGGTGCGAACGGCTGGTCCACTCTGTGAATTACTGCGTCTTCGACGATTCCATAGAAAAATAACAGCCTGGACTGACCTTAGCTCGAGCACCGTTCACCTTCCATCCGTTGTGAAGGGAAACACGTAAAGGCTACTCTTTACATACTTCTTCAAATGCCAGACAGTAAACCGCGATGTGAGAAAGGTATTCTTCGGGGTGGCGTTTCCCAGGCTCTTTTTAGCTGCTAAACACTTTATGTCACTCTATATTTGCGGAACGCGCGCATCCTTTTATGACTATTTGCTTTTTTGAATGAAATATGCGATATTAATACTGAAATTATTATTTTGGATAGAAATCGAGGCTGGATTCTACGCGAACAACGATGCAAAGGGTTTTTTTTTTCCGAAAGAGATGGACACAGCGAGTGCAAAGGGATGTACTTTAATATTTGGACATTTCACAGTTTTTGCTTTGCCGCTTTATAACTTTGTCTAGAATGTAGGATGAAATAATTGAGACATATATTACATTAAAGCATTAAGTCTAGTTAATAAATGTATAAAGATTATCTACATAAAACAGTATTTACTTTTAACGTTGCATTAATATTTGCTCAATTTCGATATGCAATTAAGATTTATATATCCGAGTTCATTAAATATTTGTAACGTATACAGTGACATTTTCAGTATACAGATACAGTAACGCAGATAACTTTTTCTGGTGTTGTATGTATAAGCGTCCATATCACTGAAAAGGTTCAAATGCTTTGTAGGTAGAAGCAAGAATTAGCTTTGGATAAAATTGCCAGTCGCGTCCTGTCAGATGTTTCAGCCAGTCTTCTTACGGTTTGCAACTGCAAAACAAATTACTTTACATGGTTCACGTTATACTTGGCTGTGGCATAGCGTTCTCCTTAATCCGAGGCTGATCTCTCTTTTTGTAACGCAGAGTTTACTCGAAGCACGGAGAAATAAAGCCCACTGCCGCGAATATAATTATTAACCTAATTTAAAATAACATCGGAAGGATGAGCAAGGAAACGACGCGTCTGTAACTTCGTAAATGGAAATTTCTTACACTGGTAAATATTATTTGAAATTTTTTTACTTCACTCTCTCTATAATATTATGTAGAACTTGAAACAATATGGTGTCAAATTTCAAAATAATATCAGTCAAAGTTTTGACTACTTACAACGAATTTGAGTAAACACTCCCGGAATACCAAACAAAACAAAATAAAATTTCACAAGTCACCAGTTCCATTCGCTTCATGGTTGAAATACATAGAATAGCAAAATAAACAAAAACAGAAAGCAATTCTTTTTCACGATAAAAATAAAGAGGACGTCTACGTAGTTGACAGCGTGTGTAGAAATTTCTCAACGTGTATCCTAACGTGTTTCTCAACGTCACGTGTATCCAAGACAGCGTTGAAGTAAAAGCACGAACATGTCAATTGCTCGTCAGAAGAAACTTATTTAGAAAAATGATCAATCTTACTACCTCATGTTTCTTGAAAAAAAAAAAAAAAAACAACTGCTCTTTCATCATAGACAAAGTTATGATGCGACAAAGTGAAAATTGCACAGTGTCGAGAATATTAAGTCTACTTACTGTAGGTACAATCTATATACATCGTCGCAGAAAAGTTTTCAGCCACCATTCATCTTTAAAATAAGCGAAGCTACTCTGGTATACGCGCCAACGTTTCACGTAAAACATAAGCCCCACATTTGAATTAGATAATTCTTAGGTAAAGGATTTTTCAAAAGAGGCTTTAATGTCGTTTAACGTCCGCGACTACTCTGACGAGCGTATTTTTTTAATCAAAAATAAAATCTTATAAACGCCTTTTTTAAAACTCTTTATTTAAAAGGCTGCGTCCGGTTGATAGAGTCAAAGCGAAGGAAACTTTCATGAATGTTTAATAATAATATTACGCGTTTGTTTGAAATGAATTGCGTTTCCATGAATAGAATATACATCAAGCTTTCGGAATAATTATTTACGATTACGTTACGCGCGTGAAAATTGTATGGCGTTCTCATCTGTGACGAGTGCTGTACTGAGTGATGTTTCGAATAAAAAAATGTAACGAAAATTAGGTTGACGACTCAGAAGGCTGTTAACTTGACTCGACAATTTTACCTAAATTCCGATCATAAACGATACAAAATGATAAATATAAAGGCGCAAAATTAATTTCTTGCTGTATCTGAACTTTACGTAAATTACTTTAACTGCAGACAATCGTAAAAATATTCTCGAAACTGGAAAAATAAAAGATTACCCGATTCGTGGGATTTATACCTCGATCGCTTCATCCCTCATAGTGGCAAAAGTCAAAACGGTAGAGTGTCCGAATGTTGGAGTCACCTTGGTCATCGAAGACAGTGGCACCAACATGTTTGATCCTCGCTCGGAGTCTTGACCCTGTTTTACGGCGGGCGGTACACACGCGTTTGGGAATAATCAGCGCGCGTGCGTGCGAGGGTTACACGATTTTGCGCTGGTGTACTTATCAGAGTACACCCGCACACGTGCGTGCACGTACACGTCGGCACGAGTGTGTTCGCGTATACCTTCAACGGTTTACCACATGTTGCGCCTTGGTGCGCGGAGCGCAAGTCAGCCAGGAGCCCGGGCCATCAGGATAGAGAGAATCTCTCCCCTCGGCTCAGTCAGTTACGCGAGTACCAGCGAACGTTTCGCGCGTCTCTCCCTTATTTTTTCACGACCATGTCGCGATAAAAGCCTCGATATCACCGCAGACCGGGGACGAATTACGCGACGCTACACGCGAACGTGTTCAGTGCCGAATAGTGAAGCATCGAAATCGAAGGATAACAGGGAAATAGGTGTAGTGATCCCGACGATGCCTAAGATGCTCAGCCACTGAGGTGGAACTTTCTTTTCGATAAGGTTAGTAGGGGTGACTGACATTGCCATTCACTTTTAACGCTCGCGAGCTACTATCCCAGACACCACTGGCCATTTGTAATTTTCTTCGAAAAAAATCGTCGCTAATCGTGCAATAATACGGCGAGTAACGTGCTTCTTGCATCGTAGTCAGCTGAAACCCTCTGCCCGAGACTCTAACTGGTCCTTGGTCTCGCGAACCGGGTGATAATTAAATCGCAAACGTTGTTATATGGACGATAAACATACTTATCGACTGATTTCACGTACAAAATATTCTATAAATAATAGGTGAAATCAATCCAAATGTCGTGGTTAATTTTTCTGAATCGAGCAATCGCAAAGTGTCGTTTGGCAAACGTTGGTTTTGGAAAGGGTAAGGACCGTAACGAGTTTGTCCTGCAGCATATATCCTCTCCTCACACCTGTTACATTGCTAGAATCGCTATATGGTGCCAGAGATCTGTCTCGTGGAGTATGATACGTGGTTTTCGAATTCAACCGAGGAAACGAATTTTAGAAAGCTTCGCCGAAGCGTGCAATTTTGTTACGCCGCGATTTTTCCAATTTGCGGACAGAAACGAGCGACGATTAAAAAAGTGAACGTTAATACCTCAACGAGTCCCTCGTAGAAAACTGCGAGTTAATTGCGTTTGCTGATGCAGGTTTTAAAGGGAACCTTGCCGCGACCGCTAAACAGCTCAACAAATAAAAACGGAATCAAAGTCGTAATTGTTCCTTGCGTTGAATGCCGTCTTTTTTTCGGTGTTACGTATGCAGGTGCACATGAAATTTCCAAATGTAAAATGTTTCCTTGTTGTACGAGAGAGGGTTACCTTTTTATAAATCGAAGACATAATTGGTTCTGTTCGTGTTGAATGTTGTGCTCCTTTTGATGTTACGCATGGCCACTAGTAATTTAGTTTATAAATGTACATTTCCTCTTTATAAACAGAAAGATTTCCTACTTATAAACGAAAGGCAAAATTGTTCCCGTTTCGTTGAATGTGCTCTTTTTTGATATTACTCATGGGCTCCAGAAATTTAGTTTATAAATGTACAGCATCATCTCGTTGTTAACTATAATATTTCCTGTTTATAAACAGAAGACATAATCGTTTCCTCTCCTGTTGAACGCGTTCTTTCGACAAATTACGCATAGACACGGGTAATTTAGTTTACAAATGTACAGCATTTCCTCGACGTAAACAGAAATATTTATAAACGGAAGGCACAATTGTCCCGTCTAACGTTGAATGTGCTCTTTCTTTATATTCCATACGTGTACGGGTAATTTAATTTACAAATGTGCAACGTTTCCTCGTTGTAAACGACGATATATACCCTATTTATAAACCTAAGACTTATTATTAACGTTCAACCTCGTTCTATATTTTCTTTTCCGGTCGAACCCGTCGGATACTACTTTTTGTTTCTAAAATTAGCTGCACTTTTGTTGTTTTTCTTTTTTCAACGAAATTTGAGTGTAATATGTCGAATTAGCTCGTGCCCGAAACGGTGTTTCGTTCGCGTCAGAACAATAACGAGCACAGGTACGCTATAAATAGATTATACGGTTTAAAATTACTATTGTTTATACGTCGTACCGAAACAAAACACAATTATTGCATTGACAAATTAGTTTCAGCTGGAAATTGTTTCTTACACGGGCACAACAATTTCGACACACCGCGTATCAAACACAGGAATATTATGAATAAATTAATAAGATTTATAATCACCGTAATCAATTTATTTCATTTATTTACTCACGGCTTTGTTCGTCACGTTAAAACGTTAAACAATTATTCTCGACGAGGTTATTATTGAATCGCGTAAAACTCAAACGCGCAATAATAACGCGCGTCCAAGGATGCCCAGGGATGAAAGAAAAGTGTAAGTTCAGTTGGATTAATTCCAGAAATCAAGAATACCATTGAACAACGCGTGTAACAATAGAACTGTCCAATAATGAAAAAGCTATGAATACCGTCGGGTTCCAGGCATCCGTGCCTCCGTTTCTGTAAATAAATGCGCTTACTCGTCTCAACCCCGAAAAACTTGTGCATAAGGGGAAACGCAAGAATTGCAGGAAAAAAACATAGCACGCTCGATCGAGGTATTCGGCCGATTCACGAGCATGTTAAATTAAAACTCTCGGTTAAAAATAGACCCATCCGACTTTGCTTAGCCTGCAATCATCCATCACCGCAACTACCGTACTGCACGCAATCCTTTATTTTCATTGGACCACTGACCTACCTATCGAAGACTTAGACCTTTTTTTTTTTTTTTTTTTATTCTAATCCTGCATAAATTTCCCGATTTGAAGCACGCTTTACGCCCATCGTTTTGAATAACAAACGATACCAACTTTACTGTTATGTATACGTTATGCGATATCGCCATTGTGCAAGGAAACCCGTATCAAATGCATAAATAATGCAAGGATTCCTCGCATGCATTCGATTTGAATGAAATTTTCTTCGCATTTTACAGATTTCAGCGCCTGACAGCGCGGCGGGGCGGCCCCAATGCCGAGCAGGAAGGGCCTCCTCGCCCCACAGAATACTTTCTTAGATACTATCGCCACCCGTTTCGATGGAACCCGTGAGTACACCAAAGAAATTCTATTAATTCGTTCGTTTTTCCTTGATCACGATTAGCCATGTTTTCACCTGTGCAGCTTATGGCGCAGAAAGCAAACGTGACTGCCTTCAAAAATTATTATCGTTGTTAAACGTCATTTACTCGGTAATTTATTTACACATTCCCGGCCGGCAGATATTTTACGTTTCTAATACCGAGTAACGACGAAAACAATAAAATTCTGAAGCTGGATAAAAATTACAAAATATGTTCTGAAATATCAATGTTGCGAACGTGTAGTGTATAAAATGAAAGGATTCTCATAATTTGTTCACAACCAGGAATAGAATTTGAAGTGACGCGAATTCGCGTCAGCGGTCGCGAATGTGTCAAGCGCTATATGAGGGTGAAAATACAGTTCGGTACAAAAGGCTTTTGTAATCTGAAAAACATGCACTCACTGTCTTTATGGCAGGTCTTTATTTTATTGATGATTCGACTACTTGAATAGAAATATTTTAACAATCTTAAAATATAAATAACACAGCGTTAGCATTAAAATTAGAATGTGAACGATAAATATATTCCATTTCGGAACTATTACCCCCAATACATGTCTATCAGAACACAAATATATACAAATCACCCTTCGCCCGCGGCATCGCTCGCGTGCACGTCAGTTAAAAAAAAAAAAAAAAAAAAAAAAACGCCGTTGTAACGAGCCGTACTCGACAACCAGAGGGTAGGAAATAAATCCGTACACGTATGGCGGTAATTCGGTATGCGGTATGAATAATGTTTTACCCGGTTAATATATTTTTATACTGTGCACACGCTAATTACGCTTTTCGTACGTCCACTGATTACGGATAAAGAGAGTCCGCTCCAAAACGGATTATAATTTTCACTTCGTTTTTTAACAAGTTCACTTAATTTTTGTACATCTTCTCGGAATTGTGTCATTTAATATTATAAGAAAAATGAATTATGATAAATTATGAAATGCGAAATACGAATTATGCGATACGAAAGAAAAATTGGAGAAATACATTTTTGATCTCGGATGTCGCGAGACCAAATCAGAAATATCTAGAATTCGTAAAATCTATCTTTGGAGGTTTATTTATGTGAACAAATAAATGGAGATGTACGTAACGGAGCGAAATTGAGGGATGGAGTTAATACTGTCGTTATTAAAATCGAGCGTCTAATGGAGGTCATTTTAAGCAGAACATACGTGGAAACGCGGCTGGAAAAAGAGGTGTTGGAAACGCTATTTAACAGCCGATTATTCTGTCCCAGCCATTCTTCGAAGCGCGGCCAATTAATTCTCATTCAAGAATTCAAAACTGAAGTAATCGCGGATAAACTTTTCCGCTCGGTTGATCCGCGTCGGGCATAAATAAAACAGAGCATAGCCAATAAAATTCCGATCACGCCATAGCACCATCGAGCAGCTATCCCCGTAAACTTTCCAGGGTAGTAAAGGAACGGATCTCACCAACGCCGCTTTCGATTAGCCTCAATCCCGATATTCGCCGGCCACCCTCGTTTGCCCGTCTTCAGCTTGGAATTAGACGATTCGTCGATACGAAATGTCTTGGCTCCCTCGGTTTGTGAAGAAAAATACGATACGTATTGTTTGGTTATGCAGTTATGCGTAGTATTTTATATTAGATGGATGAAAAGAAAATTTCGTCTGTATCGATCAGGTTAATTATTGTTCTCGGAGGCTGTAGTTATGTTTGATTGTAGCTACAGCAAGGGTTTAGCAATCCCGAGGTATAGGGGAGCCAGTGGGTCCCAATAGGCTATTGACGTCCTCATTAGGGATATAAGGAACTCGTGTAACTTGACAGTAACACCTAATGTACCAGTCTTACATTTGTTCCTTCTTTGCATTCATTTAATTTCTGCTTTACGTTACTTTGCATTTGCATTTGCTTACATACCTCTCTTCATCATTCTCTGGCATCCCTAATGGGGATCCCTAATGGGGATGCCAGAGAGTGATGAAGAGAGGTATGTAAGCAAATACAAATGTAAGCAAGAATTAAATGAATGTAAAAGAGGAGCAAATGTAAGACTGGTACATTAGGTGTTATACGTCAAGTTATACGCTTCGCAGTCTTTAAAATAGTAGTAAGAAGCAGTAAGGTTCGTTATTTGATATTGTAAGAAATTTGTATAGAAACATGCTCGTGTTAAATATTATTTGAAAGCGCAGCTTTCGTTGTACATTTTTATAACAAATATTGTGCGTCTTTCATTACTGCGTACTCCGTGTAGGTTATTCAGTTGAAAATGAACAAGAAGCATAGTTTCATATTAGGTCAGTGTAAAAATAATTAAATTAAAAATGATAATAGTAAAAGTAATAACAATTTCATTCGTCACAATTCGTTTAACGGAACTATAACGTGAACACTCATTTCTAACGACTATCTTTCGGTTTCAACAAATAGGAAATTCGAACGATTTTCGTCCACCTATCGCGTGAAATTTCCCGAGTTTAACGTATGTTTAGCATCTCATTAGCACTTCCGCGACACAATGTCTAATACAACGATTCAAATGGTGGCACATGTTGCTGTTTACCAATCGCTCGATCAAGCTGCAAATTAATACCGAAGCGTCACCCGATACTTGCCCGTGCCCGTTGACGTCGGCCCGCTAATTCGTGTACCGATATTACCGGTGACGGAAACGTTAACAACGAGCGAAACCGAATTGTCTCAGGACCGATCAAGCTCTATGGTTGGATTCACGTCGAACATAATTGTGTCGGTTGACTGCACGTCCCACGCTGCTGAAACTGTTGCGCTGCAATTAAATAAATGTCCACCCGTGTCGATGGAAGAAAGCGTCGAACGTGTTACCAAAGCGTTCCATCTTCTTTTGTAATCGATCCAGATGCTGGCGATGGATTCATCTCCGCAAACATAAAAAAAAAAAAAAACAAACAAAAAATAAATACAGAAAAAAGAACAGAAGAAATTCACTACGAACAACCTCGAGAATTCAAATGATTATCTTAAATTTTACCTAATCGTTTTAAAAAAAAAGTGATCTCGCAAAAAAGGCGTTTAGATAGAAAAGGTCAAGAAACACCTGACTGGTATATATGCATGTATACATTTGACAGAACGCTTGGTAACTCTCGCGTAGAAACTTTATTTTCCAAATTTCATGTTTTTGGGATTTGGAGCCGCTGATCGCGCGAAGGCTGTTGCGTGACACACGCCGGATAAAAAGGCGAAACGAGTCCATCTTTTCGCTAATAATAACGCCTGGCTACCTTCCCTCGGGACGCCAACTCTGTTATCTTCAACCTTTCCCTTTTACACCGGAGACGTAGTTTCGGGGTTAACGGTGAAGGAAAAAAAAAAAAGTAATCTAAACTGTCGCCGACGCTTTAAGGCTATCCCATTTGTCCTCTCTCTATCTCTCTCGTTTTTTCGTTTCACGATAAAAGTGGCGAGGCGTAGGAACATGGCGGGAGCGCGAAGAACTGCATGTGAACGGCGCCGGGCGTTCGCGACAAACGTGAAACGTTTAACGAACCGCGACGCTACCCGCGTCCACCTATTTGACCATCGACACCCAAACAGCGTTTTTTTGTGGTCCAGCTTTTCCTTTATCTCTCTGTTCGCGCAGAATTTCAGACGCGACTCGAGGCGGGGATGAACGAAATCTAGATAAAAACTTGGCATAAAAAAGAAAAGATATAAGAAATATTTCATTTTTTATTAATTTTAAAAGGGATGATTTCCTTCTGAACGATGAAGCAAAAATTCCCTATCCGTAAGAATCGAAACGTCAAGGGACTCGTTCGATTTTATTCTTTCAAATAAACGTGGAATTTTGACTCTTCATTCGGAAACAAAATTGGCTCGATCGTGATTTCTACCGACGTGAATGTCAAATAATTTTCTACCATTTGTAACCAGCAGCCGTCCGTGAAATATTTCGCAAACGACAGATGAAAAATCAATTATTTTATCGAGCGAACGCCATGAACAAGATGCTAAACGTGTTTCAATCTTAAAAATTTCCATTTAATTTCCATTTCTTTTGACACTGCACCGAAGCATTACTAACAACTCATACCCATAATTAATCCATTCACTGCCAGGCTTTAAAGCGTTTTGCCTTAGGCGCCAAGATTTAATACAGATGTGTGACGTAGGTTATTATTTTTATAATAAGATGCGATATTAAATTTGTTGTTTGAGAAAGAAAATTTACGACCTTCTTTTGCGATAATAATGTTTCAGGATAGTTATTATATACTCTTTAAGAGTAGATTACTAAACACAAGAAACTTCACTCGAAACCAGCGTGTAGCTTTCGTACGTAAAAATCTCAAATATCAACCTTTTCTCGATTCGTTAACCGAGACGAACCTTTTAAACGACGAATTGGTACTTAAGATTCCACCGATACCAATAAAAACTTCGGTGCCTACAAACTGAGGAAAACTAATTACGAGAAATAGGCTACGGATCGTCGTCATCCACGTTGTAAGAGAGTTACAAGAAAGTTACGTCCTTGGAAAGTAATGGAATCGCATTTTTTTTTCTCCCCCCTCTTCGAAGAAGCTGACAAAATTGCATTTCTGTCGCGACCTAACTATAATCTCCGGCAGTGCATTTCGATTTAGTTGGGCGATATAAACCGAGGATATTTGCATTTAACGAGCTAACTTATTATATGCATTAAGATATGATGAATTTCGTCTGCTCGACACCTGTCTTGCGTAACGCTAGGAATTCTCCATTTCTTGCATCGCGACGGTTGCGCAACAGTTGGATTACCATTCGCGTAAGAAATAATCTCTTTAGTACGCCTTATTAAGACGATTAAACACTTAATTATAATATACACGTCGCGATGGGAACGTTTAATTTCTGTTCGTACACTTGCGGTCCTCTTCCGCTTAATGCTAAGGAGATATTCTGGTATCCAGATCCTCTTTCTTCGTATATACAATTACCTGTGGAAATAATGCCAAATGTACA